CTAGTGTATGCTTTAGGGTTATGATTATTATTAATAAATAAATAAAAATAAAGTATAAAATAATAATAATAGTAATAATAGTAATAATAATAATGAAAATTATAAATGAAACAAAACAATAACATAAAAACGTTATATCAAATAAATAAAATGAAAAATAATAAAACTCTCCCAGGATGCAACAAAAACTATTCCTGCCGGAAACACAGAAATCCTGCCAAAAGATGTTACATTCAATCTCTTCGCCACGAACCTTGGTGCGGGCAACATGTGTCCGACTTCTCTCTGTGATATGACTTGTAATACTACGGAGTAAATTCTCCCTTTTATCACATGTCCCATAAAACAATTGTAACCTAAAAAATACAGACACCAATACACACAAAAATATAAATAAATTGTATGAAATTAATATACACTTTACCATGCTTTTCCTGTCATATCTGTACGTTTTATTTCCTGTCAAGTATGCTTTATATCCGTGAACACGTGACTAATTTCTGCTGCTATGACGCGAGTGACGACCCCACAATGTAAATAAGATGACAGCTTGTAAAGGTATTTGGAGAAAATAACGAATGTCTGCATTGTTAAATAAGAATAAGTAAAAGGCATGGGATTTTGTGCCTCACCAATATTTTAGTGCTTGTTTTTAATCTACTTTGCTTACGAAGCAACTGGAATTAAGATGCAAGATTATTATTCTATTATATACGTTATACATAGACACGACAACAATGTGCCCTTGGTATTTCTCTATGTCATGTCACTTGATATTGGAGAAAACCTCGACAGCAGCTGATAGGCATGTAAGCATCCATTTATATCTATTCACCGTGGCTGGAGGTCAGCTAAGACTGACCAAAAGCGCACAGCCTCTTGCACTTTGATCTCTAGTTAGTGGACGAAACTGTCGACAAGACAGCCAGCACATTCTCATGCATACGTTTCATGACAAACAACAACTGACAAAGAAAATAATTAAACGGTATACAGGAACTGTTTTTAGTCATATTCAGGGATAAAATACAACCTGGTTGGCAGTAAAAAGAAACAAAAACAAAAAAGAAACAAAAAACGCTGACATATGATTGGACCGTCGTTGCGACTGAGTGTGTAGCGACCACATACGAGCAATCTTCCTAAAAGGGCCAGTGGATAGGGAAGTCGATAAGTGATAAAATCGATTTTGTGGACAGCGTGGTCGAGCGTCACGTCAAGGAAGGACGATCTGATATGAATGACCGATTTACGATACCCTTAAGTATGTAGATATGTCAATAAGAGTTCAGAGAAGTTGATGTAGGAAGATTGTTGTCAAATCTGGACTTAAATGGCTTGGTTTACATTAACAGACTAGATTGAGCCAATACACACACATATTTATGTATGTATGTTTGTATATATATATACACCGTAAAACACACACACACACACACACACACACATATATATATATATATATATATATATATATATATCGAGGGTGAACGTCTACTATTACGGCTAGCCAATCCCTATTGCAGACGCCTGCATTTGTGTTTGTTCAACACATACTAGGATATCTTGTTCTTACTAAAGCTCGCTAGGTAGGATATGCGTTGTGTTCCTCTGTCCCTCTTGCCTTCAATTTATCCTGTGAGTATCATATTCTCCAAGCCCTCTTTCCTCATTATGTTCCCGAGAAATTTCAATTGTGTCTTTCTGACGCAATGTACAAGTGTGCCTTGTGTCTTCATTTTCTTTAAAACTTTATCGTTGCTCACATGTTTGTCCATAGTATGCACAGAATCCTTTAGTACAGCAATTTTGTTGCTTCAAATCTCTTCATCTGTGAGAAGATTGTCCAACATTCACTGCCATATAAGAGGACTGATATTACATGTCAGTTAAGTAATCTTTATTATTTCTAACGAACTTTTCTTGTTTCATTATACGTTGCATAGCTTTTAGAAGGCATCTTTTTGCTATGCTAATGTGGCTTCAAATTTCGCTGTCCCATTTTCCGTCCCCTGTTAAAACATGGCTCAGATATTTATATTTACTTGCTTGATTTTGACATCTATTCATAGCTTGCATCTTGGGCTGTTCTTTTTGTTGGCAACCATGCATTCTGTCTTCTTGCAGCTGAGGTCTAGTCCTTTCTTCTCGCTTCCCTTCATTACCTAAAGACATTTGAAATTTTCTTATTCTATTCATGGTTTCAACTAACAAGACTGGTACCAAATTTCAGGGGGTTTCGTGATTATGAAACAACCATGACTTATTCATCATATACGTTTTACACGATGCACTCTTTAGCCTTCTTTGTACTAAACGAATAATAACACTGTCAGAGACTTTTAGACATCACTTCAATAATACCTGACTCCTTCTGCCAATTACATGAGCCAGATTAAATCACCCCACAAAAAAGAAAAAAAAAGAAGACAAAAACAAAAAAAAGACAAAAAAACACCCAACAAAAAACAAATAAAAAAAACAAAACAAAAACAAAACAAAAAATCAAAGAGTATTGCTGTCATAAGGCCTGGAACTGCTCAATTCTCACTTTTCATCTTTCAAAACAGTTTACGCAGTCTTTGGGTGGGATGACTTATTTCCTGTCCCAAGACTTGCTATTCTATTAGTATTTCCTTGGCAAAGGTTCAAATGAGCTCTATCCTCCACCAGTTCAGACCTTTCCAGCTAAGACTCGCCATGCTAAGTACATGAAATCGAATCAACTTCATTTTTACGTATTTTCAAAAATCATTTCACCCGAAGCAAGGCAATAAAGCCACTGAGACGCAAGAGGTTAGAGTATTAGAGAACATGAAGAAAAAAATTACTATTAAGGGAAAAGGACAGTAAAAGATAAGAATTAAGAAAGAAGATAACTGACATTGCGGTTAAATTTTTGAAGATCAAAGTTGACTGGAAAGTAAGAAGCTGGGGCAGAATTTCACAGGCGATAAGTGCAATAGAAGAAACTGTTAGTATAGAACTTACGGTTACATCTAGCCATTTCAAATGCTAATTGATAAGATCTTGCTTTCAAGATATTTTCGTGTTATTTTGGTAAATATGTCTGTTAAAACGACATATCAGTGTTATTTTCATTTTTGCGCAATTTAGATGACAATTTATCCATCGCACTCTGCCATATATGAAAGAAAGACACACGCGCACATATGTACGTGTGCAGCTAACCTTACCATCTATATAAAAGTACAAAAATGTAATGTATTCGTTAATTAGATAGGCATCACCATCCAGCCCTGATATGTTCAAGTGGAAGACTTGCATTTCGCTTTTAACACTCCAATTTCGTTCTTGACTCAACTTCGAATATGATCTTTAACCTCTATTTTTTGTTTCAATTTCTGAGAGAGAGAGAGAGAAAGAGAGGGGGGTGAGGGGGGGAGTGAGGGGGGAGAGAGAAAGAGAGAGGGGGAGGGGGGGAGTGAGGGGGAGAGAAAGGAGAGAGGAGAGGAGAGGAAGAGAGGGAGAGAGGGAGAGAGGGAGAGGAGGGGGGGAGGGGGGAGGAGGGGGAGAGAGAGAGAGAGAGAGGGGTGAGGGGGGGAGGAGGGGGAGAGAAAGGAGAGAGGAGAGAGAGGAAGAGAGGGAGAGAGGGAGAGAGAGAGAGAGAGGGTGAGGGGGGGGGGAGGGGGGGGAGAGAAAGAGAGAGGGTGGGGGGAGAGGGGAGAGAAAGAGAGAGAGAGGAGAGAGAGAGGGAGAGAGAGAGAAAACAAACTCTTAATTCTCTCATGTCTGTTTTTTTTAATCATTTCACCACAAGCAAGGCGATAATGCCACTAAGACTCAAAGGAGGCTATTGGGAGTGAAAGAAAACGAGAAAACTTTAGAAGAAATCGAAAAACCCAGTCATTAACAGGAATCAAGGGGATTAATCCTGTTCAAAAGACGGTGAAGGAGTATGAACCAGGCGATCGGTGAACCTCTATTTTTTATTAGTCATGATACACAAACGTGTAAAATTGGACTGTAAAAAGATTATAATAAAAAGGTTTTATTTATAAAGTGAATTTCTCCGTGGATTTAGCTTTTGTGAGTATGAAATTTACGTATAAGTATGAAATTTACGTATAAGAATTATCTTCCATTCTCTGACATTAGTTAAACGTTTATGAATAGTTTTCTGAGTCTATGTACATTCTATGCTCAAAACCATCATATCGTCTTGTGACAACTGCCAAAGGCCGTTGGTCTCGCTTGTATTCATTAATGATGATCTTTTTTCTTTCATCTTAAAAATTAACAAATAAACACAGGAACTTGACTTATGTACAAAACGGCAATGTATGTCAGATATTTCCGCAAAAAATTTATTCCCCGTGAAACAAAACTGTGTGCATTCCTATGCAATCTTTAGTTATACAAGGAGATGGGGGAGGTCAAATTTTAAACGTTTTAAAATAAAATTAAAGATAGTTCATACTGGTTTATTTTGATATCATTTTTACTAATGTTCACCCGATATGAGGCCTAAGAGCCACTCAAGGTAGAGGGTTAGTCTGAGGGGTTGTATTAGCGTAAGAAAGGGCAAGATAACAGGAAAGAGAGATGTTTCTCGATTTGATGAGGTCAAGATTTAGCGAATAAAATTTCAGCGTTCAGGCGAAGACGTTAGAGGGAAAGAGCTGAAGTAAACTTTAGAAGGGACTGGAAACTCAATCCTAAACAGGAAACAAGGGAAACAAGTGATTAAACTCTACTCTTGTTAAAAAAAAAGTCAGCAAGGAGTGTGTACCGTGTTTCAAAACATGGAGCATACATTTCACATTAAATTTGCTTTTATAAATTTATGATAATTGCAATCATAAAGTTTATACTCTTTTCAAAACATAGTTTTATCAAATTTGCGCATGTTACGTAATTAAAATTTGTAATTACAATACAATGTTCCTTGCGGCTACCTGGCTAATAATCCTATAAAATCTATAAAAATTGTTACCATATTATAAGAGTGAAATGTAGTCTCCGATAATTTATACATAACGGTCATATCAATTTGAAACACCCATTCTCGTACGATCATCGAAGTTAAGCAACGACATGTCTGGTCAGAACATAGATGGGTGACCGTTTGGGAATACCGGGTAGTGTAAACTTGGGCGTGCGGGTGGTGTAATGGATAATGGCTCAGAAGTTGTTATCGGAGTTCTAGTTTCATTGGGTTCGTTATGTTTACACGCGCCAATACCATTAGGAAAGATATGAATCCACCACTTCTTATCCCCCAGCTATGGGTTAATTAGTTAAACTTGTCTCACTAAATAATTATTATCTCCAAAAACATTCTTACAATCTTTTACTTATATATTTCTTTGGCCATTTTTTTCTTAATTAAAATCATCTTATTTTCAAATTAAAGATTTGAGCGCAATTTGTGGCAAGTGGAATATTAATAAGCCTTAAGAAGACCTTTGCAACGTGACTTCAGCTTTATACACGGAAAATCAACTTGAACTGTCAAATATTTTTCGCTGTTATTCTGACGGTGTTTTCATTAAAGCTCAAAGTATAGAATCTGTTCAAATGAAGTTACCCTTTCCAACAGAGAAATATGCATCGTATTCAACGAGAAATTTGGGAAAACGAAGGCGATGGATAAATCTTTTAAGGGAGGAAAAATTTGACCAAATATCAAGATTGATTTATTGATGTTGATCTTCTTCGGAGGAAAGACTTCCAGCACACACTAGTCATATTTCTTTTTCATTTCGTTGACATTTAGTTGGCAATTTTACATAATGTAATTTTTAATGCTTATTTTCTCAATTTCTTATTTTCTCTCTTTCATCTTCCTGGCGTAATTTCCATCTTCATACACCATTTGTTTACACACTGCCTCTTGTCCTCATTATCTCTTAATTTTTTTTTTTATTCTTCATCTCTTAACAATTTTTCATTGTTCTCGCCTGCTTCTAACGTATCTAATTTCTTTTTCCTCCCATTTCACATTCTGAAAATAGTCTCTTCGTTTGCTTTCATTCTTCTTCATTTCTGGGTTGCATCTTCCCGCCTGTCACTTATGGCGAATATTTAGCCTGTTGGCTTTCTTTCTAACCCATGCGTCATTTCCCGATTCATTTTTAATTAGCGAGACACACATACAAAAAAAAAAGAAAAAAAAAAAAAGAGTTAATATCTTCCTTCCGTCTTTTCTTCTCATTATGTTACTATTTCGATGAGTACTTAGGTTTTACAAACGTTAACCTCCTATCGACACCCATAAAAAAAAAAACAAAAAAAAACTAGCATACATTTTTAGTCTATTCAATGGATGAGGGAGTTGAGGTTTTAGAAGGTTGACGCAACACTATCTTTCAGCATTTCATTTCGTCTTGTGTCAGCTTAGTAAATATTGTCATCAAACAAGTAAAGAATATTTCCACACTTGTTTTTTATATCTACAGCCATTGATATAGTTATAATACCTGCGTAAGTGAATAATAACGTCACGTGATGAGGAGAAAAAACATTAATATAAAATCTCCTTTGTCAATCTATTTAATTCGTGTGTGTTAGCTCTATCTCTGATATTGAGCGCTTTCTAATAAGTACCGCGCATATAATATATAAATAATTATATATATATATATTTATATTTATTTATATTTATATACACACACTTTTCACACACACACATATATATATATATATATATATATATATATATAATGCTTGGAGGGAAGAAATAGAAACACTCATCTTCAATAAAAACAACATAAAAGAGGGATTAGTGCTCAAACGCATATATATATATATATATATATATATATATGGTGGATTCTCCCTTCGTATTCGACGTATGAGGGTCAAGCAGTTCGGTTCCTAGGAACCGACAGTCAGACACCAGCACATATGATTAGTTTATAGTGGTGAAGGCTTTGTGCAGAACCAACCACACTTTTTGAAGGGCCGAATACAGACACCTGGTGCGCTACGTGCCCCAAGTTCCCCAAACAAACCTCCGCAGGTTTTGAATTCAGAGTTGTCCTTCTCCGAGACCAGTTGACATCCAAGGCTATAGAACCCAGTCTGTCCTGCTATTTATCCATAGCTGGACGGAGAAGAGGATTAATACCTTTTCCCAAGGGTATTAGCAAAGTGAATGGAATTTGAACTCGGCTCTCCGATTCCTTAGCAATTAAAATTAAGATCAATGTAAATAAAGGATTCATAATGGCGAATTTTTGCGTCAGAAATGTTTGATATTTTTCTGCAGTTTGACCTTTTAATTCAACAAGGTAGCAGTTCACAAAGGTGAGAATTAAAAACATTAAGTGGAACTCGCGCGTATTATCCATTGCTAAAGAAGCAGGAAATATGGTCGGTTCTCTGTATAGCTCTAGCAAGTACTTGACTCCTCCTCCTATCCTCGACTTTTAGAAGAGCCAGATCAGGCTGGAAATGGGATACTGCTGCCATATTTGGACAGGAGCTACCCAGTTCTCATTTTCAAGTCTCGATAGAGTCCAAAAGCGTCTCCGCGTCCTTGTGGGTGACAAATCACTTTCTATCCAACAACCACTTTCTCACAAACGAAAAGTCGCAAGCCACTCGCTGATCTATCGTTATTTCCATGGAATGTGCTCAGATGAACTACACTCTTTTGTTCCACCTGTTCTAACCTTCACGGCTAGGACCCACCATGCTACTCACATTGCAGCGAATCACACTCATTCCCTCTGTATTCCATTTGTGATATGTAAGTTACACTCGAACATCTTTCCCGCTAACCACTGCTGTGGGACCGACTTTCAAGAGGATGTTTTCCCGATGATTACAATTCTAACCTGTTCAAGCCATTTTTCATTAAATTTATTTTAGTAGCATTATTTATTATGGCCCTTCATCACAAGAAACTCTGGTTCGATACGACTGCCCTTCACCATAAGAAACTCTGGGTCGATACGACTGCCCTTCATCACAAGAAACTCTGGGTCGATACGACTGCCCTTCATCACAAGAAACTCTGGGTCGATACGACTGCCCTTCACCATAAGAAACTCTGGGTCGATACGACTGCCCTTCATCACAAGAAACTCTGGGTCGATACGACTGCCCTTCACCATAAGAAACTCTGGGTCGATACGACTGCCCTTCATCACAAGAAACTCTGCGTCGATACGACTGCCCTTCACCACAAGAAACTCTGGGTCAATACGACTGCCCTTCACCAGAGCACATTATCAGAGCAACTAAATATCAGAAAATAGAAATAGTAGGTTGTAAGGGAAGATACACATTACAGACGTCGACTTAACCAAGGACTTCTCAAAGTGGGCACCAGCATCACATAGGTAGCGGTGGAGAGACCGGTGATGAAGATTAAGAAAAAAGGGCTGGAGATGCTATTAAAATTTTCGAAAATTCAAGAATACTGAAAATAGTTAAGAAACTCTATTTCGATATCCCATCCTAAGGCCAATTGGGAAAAGTCTACTGCTATCATTTCCAATGTGGTGTTTGATAGAAGGAAGTTTCGGTAATTCTTTTTTTGTCTCTTAATGACAGACAGTCTTACAATTGTTGAAAGAAAAGATTTACGTTTTCTACTCACAAAAATAACAATAGAAATCGGTACACTAATAAATCCTCACTAAGCTCCTTCTCCTCCTCCTCATTAACTGTTAATTCTCTATCTACCAATATAAGTATAACTCAGACTCTAAGATTTCTGTTTTATCATACTTATATAATTTTAAAGAACGTATTAGAAGGGAGCGTTAATAATTGTGTATTTTAGGAGGCAGCAGCCAAAATAAATTTCAGAAGTCTAGTTTCAACCAAATTGGCCACGGAAGAGTTGACTATAAAACGAAACATAATCCTCCTATATGAATGCTGGACAATTTTCTAACAGATGACGGAGAAGCAACAGAAATGTCGTTCTACAAAAGGGTTCTGAGAATGCCATAGACCGAACATGTGATCAACAACGAAGTTTTAGAGAAAATTGAAGCAAAAAGAAGATACTTAATATCAGAGAACAGTTGTAATTTCTAGAGAACAGAATGAGGACAGAAGGTTTATAAAATATGATACTCACAGGGCAGATTGAGTGCAAGAGGGACAAAGGAAAAAAAACATAACTTACCTAGTTAGCGAGAGTAAATGAATAGCACAGCATAGGTTAAGACAGATAACAAACAGAAAAGATTTATTAGGCGCTACAAAGGTCAGGAAGTTGTGGAGAGCCATGGCAATCCTGATTCTTGATATTATTATCTCATGATAAAGGGCTAAATTTATAAATGAAACAAAGATAGCGATAATTATAATAATAATTAGGTGTTCTCGTTTTCTTAGGAAGAGATTAGCCAAAGAAAGATACTGTTTATGATAAAGTCTTTAAGAAAAATGAACCCCTATTCCGATCTGTCACCTTTATCTTGTACCTTTAGACAAACGTTAAGCAACATAGTTTATTTAGCGCACCGATTAGCCACCGAATCCAAACCAGAAACAAGTGTAATTTGCAGAGTTCTTAGATATTATGTCTACCACTGTCCCGACTCCCACATCTCAGAAAAGTTTCTTTATCAGTAAAATAATTTAATAAGGCCGGGAGTCGCCCCAGTGTAAAGGGTTAGGCAAGATAGTAGAATAAGGGCAAGAGATAAGAACGGGCGTACTCTGCAATGTACTTAAAATGGATGCGTAAGGCAAGAGAGGGTGGAACGAAATGAAAAAAAAAAAAAAAAAAGCGTAACAGTGGAAATAAAGAAAGCGTTGCTCACTGTAATAGATTTTTGTACAGTTCATGTTAGTAGCGATAACTACAGCTATACACAACCGTTTTCTCAGATGGAACTTTACCAAATAACAGAAATCCCGTTATTTGAAGACTCAACAGCAACGAAAATAGATAGCACGTGTAAGCAGAATAGAAAACATTGAAATAACCAAGACGTCGATTTTTCATCCTGCTTCAAACAAAACTTTAGGAAGGAAACCCCGATCAATAATAGAAAGAACGATAACGTTTAGTGGACCTGAGAAACCTATTTCCGTGAAAAACATTTCAGTATCATTTTATAAATTTCAACCAGCACTACCGCTAACTCTTATGTCAATGTCGAATTCTTCTTTGTTAGGGAACAACTAATATCACAATTGCCATATAAACAGTCACTAATTTACCAAGAATGACGTCAAAGCTGAAGTTAGTACGCTAGTCTTGTCAAATCAGCCAGCTAGAATAAATAAGTCAAATAAAGCGAAATTAAAAAAAAATGTCAGAATTCGTAGTAGATTCATAGAATTTAGAATTGCAAATGGCGTTTAGAATTGCAAAAGAAGATACCATTACGTATCCTGGTAGTAAAAGTTTCAGAAGCGATGCTAATGTTGGTAATGTCAATACATTATATGCTTGTTTTGCAATTCAACAATCTACTGAGTTAGTGAACTCTGATGAAAAGCAAATGGCTGACACAAAAACTCTATCGACTTTATCGTTGTAACTGCTTAACTATGTACTTAACATACATTTTATGGGGAAACATTCGGTGATTTAATTTTTAAATTAAGCATAAAGAGTAAAACGTGATAGTTATTTTTTATTTTAAAGAAAATAAGACAGAAGAAAGAATGAGAAATAAAAAAAGGAAAATTAGAAAAAGTAAGGTAAGAGAGGCAGATATAGAAATGAGAGTAATAAAGACGGGCCTGAGAAAGAGTGATAAAAACAGACCAAAAGAGGAGGAAGAAAGAGAGAGAGAAAAAGAGCAAAAAAGTTGAGACGGGTCTGAGAGAGAGAGAGAGAGAGAGAGAAAGAGAAAGAGACAGAGACACAGACAAAAACGAGCCAAAATGGTAGAGAGGGAGGGAGAGAAAGGAAGAGAAAAAAGTTAAGATGGGCCTGAGAGAGACAGAGAGAGAGAAAGAGAAAATAGTTAAGATGGGCCTGAGAAAGAGAGGTAAAAACGGATCAACCGAGTAGAGAGAAAGAGAGAGAGAGAAAGAGAGAGAGAGAGAGAGAGAGAGAGAAAGAAAGAAAGAAAGAAAGAAAGAAAGAAAGAAAGAAAGAACGAAAGAAAGAAGTTGAGGAGGAGGAGGAAAGAGAGAAATACGGGTCGGGGGAGGAAGGAAAAGAAAGGTAAAATAAACCAAAGAAAAAAGAAAGAAAGAAAGAAAGAAATAAATAAAAAAAGAATGAGAGAAAACATAAAAATGAGCCTACTGTTAAGTGGTTCACATACGTCTTTAAATCTTCCTTCACTGTTCCCAAATCTTGTGACATTTTTGGTCTGGCATTAAATCTTGATATCACTGTTTACTCCCATATAACATTTGCCGATACTGTTTCACTTCAACTATCTTTTGATAACCCCTTCCCGCCCATCACTCAAACTGACAATGTTTATAGAACAAGAGAAAAACTACCGACAGAAGATGCGAATTCTGTCTAAATGGCGAACTATAGGACTAAAAAGTTCTACTATTGTATCCCAAATGTTTCATCAGAAAAAATAAACGAAATAATGTTTAGAGTTAATGAACAGAAAGAAACTTATTGTTGGTTTCTTTATTTCGATAATCAGTTGTTTTTTTTAATATATATTATAGTGTACTTATTATGAAAAAAAAAATAATAGAAAAAGTGATCGAAATGGTGAAATGGACGTACGTAATGTAAAAAACTGAAAAATTTGTTTATTATTTATACAACGAAATAAAAGAAAACAAAATGATCATCTCACAAAAAGAAGCGCCTTTTCAGGGGTTGAAGAGAGTTTTTTTTAATTGTGATTTCGCAAAAAAACTTTTTAAAAACGAACCAAGATTACTAGCGAACCAGTAAAAATGATCTCCTGTAAAACACACTCAGCATTCTTTTTCGTTTAGCAGTTTCAATATTTTTACTGACTTGTTTAATCATAAAATACACACATTCTTTAAATTGCTGTATCTCCTGTCTTTATCCTACAGCAGCGAGAGCAAAAATAGGGAGCATATGTAACAAGAATCATACGATGAAAGTTTTAACTTTACCCACTAGCTAAAACAGACAAAAAAATTGGAAGGAAATGCCAATCACCCACCCCGCAAAAAGAAAGAGCTATAAGAGATTTTATAAATCTCAAATCAACAGAAAGACTAACTGTTCGATGAATCAATTTCGAAATATTCCTGTTTGGAAACCGCTAGATTTGCCATTAATATATCCCCAATTTCTTTCTTTTCTTCCATACATAATCAGCCATGCGTGATTTAAAAATCACCAGCTTTATTTTTTATAAGCATAAGATGTTTATTTTTAATACGATGTTTGTTTTCGTCTTTGTATTCTATGTCCCGACTTCATGGTACTTTGTGATAGTTCTTGGCAAAGTTTTGGGCGAGTTAGAACTAATGGGGTGTCTAGGACGAGTTATACAACGGAATATTATCCTCCTGTATGGATCTTAGATTTCTTGGACCGTTTCCTATGTCTATCTGATATAAGACGGAACAAATGAGTTTTGAGTTGACTTTCGAAGCTGGAGATCTGCGGGTAGACCCTGAAATTATGCTTTCTTTTTCTGTGCCATGTCCCTTAAGAACGTAGGCGATCATAGCTCTCCACCTTTCTCTATCCCTTGAAGTTCTTAACAAGTTTCTTCCCTTTGCTACCTTCTCCATACCACGTTCTGTCATCCAATTGCTTAAGGCCGCCAGGTATGCCACGCGTTGTTTTCCCTTGTCTCTCTTTTACTCTATTCGGCCCGTGAGTATCAGATTCTATAGGCCCTCCTTCCTCATTATGTGTCCCAGAAACTTCAGCTGCTTCTTCCTGATGTTAAGTATAAGCCTTCTCCTTGTTTGTATCCGCTCGTTGCTCACACGCTCGATAAAATGATATCCTTAGCATCCTTCTGTAGAACCGCATCTCTGTCGCCTCGAGTCTCTTTTTCATCTTTGAGGAAATCGTCCAACATTCGCTGCCGTAAAGAAGGACAGATGTTACGTAACAGCTCACTGTTCTTTTCCTCGTAACCAAAGAAATCCTCCTGTCTTGCAATACTCTGCTCAGCTTTTGGAACGTGTCCTTGGCCATCCCAATATGTCTACGGATCTCAGTGTCGCCCTTACCGTCCTCTGTCAAGACACTTCCCAGATATTTAAACTTCTGCGTCTGCTTGATTCTAGTGTTCCCGACCTGCAAATCGCATTTCGGGCTCATTCTTTTACTGATGACCATACATTCTGTCTTCTTGTAGTTTATGTTTAGTCCCTTCTTCTCACTACAGGTTAGATTATCCATTATCTTCTTTGACAAAGGATTATCCTTGATTATTTCTGAAACTATTTGGATAGTGAAAGTAAAAGTTAAGTGTAATTATTAAGTATATATAAAGTCTGATCATTGGCCATATTTATTGCTGTTTAATAATGTGAAGTACAGTAATGTCGAAAGTTTTTTGCACAATATACGAAGGATGGTAGATCAAAAAAATAGGGAAATTTATTTCTATTCAAGCCCGTCCTGGGTATGACAATGAACTACATCCGCCTCTGATCAGGTTTTGAGGATCACCTCATAATTGCTGGTGTTCCCAGGTCCACCCTGACCCAGGGTGGTAGCACCTGTTAGAGTCCCAGCTATGGGTACATAGTTAACCGCAAAATTGGGGTCAAAACACTATGAAAGTGTAAAAATAGATTTTAATATCAGAAATACTTTGTAAAAATTTACCAGCGACAAATTTTTGAAGAGAAATTATTACCAGCAACAAATTTTTGAAGAGAAATTATTACCAGCAACAAATTGTTGAAGAGAAATTATTACCAGTGACAAATTTTTGAAGAGAAATTATTACCAGCAACAAATTTTTGAAGAGAAATTATTACCAGCGACAAATTTTTACCAGAAGAAGAAAATTATTACCAGCAACAAATTTTTTTTTTTTTAAGAGAAATTATTACCAGCAACAAATTTTTTTTGAAGAGAAATTATTACCAGCAACAAATTTTTGAAGAGAAATTATTACCAGCGACAAATTTTTGAAGAGAAATTATTACCAGCAATATATTTTTTTTAAATGACCAGCAATAAAAATCTTGTCAGCATTAAATAATCCATTGAGGTTGATATGCCGTAAAACAAAACAAACCAAGCCCAACCATCTATTCAGGTCTGAAGACTAGATTTAATTATCATATACAAAGACATGTGGCTACTATCAAGTAGTACATCGTTCCAGCAGAATAAATTATGAAACTGAGTTATGTTGAAAGATATCAGAGGCTTTCCAGAGAGCTAAAACTATTGTGGAATATGAATATGACGATTCAACCGAGAATCATTGGAACACTTGGAAAGGACATAGAATAAAACAAATAAAGGCAAGCTCTTAAAAATTTAAACTATTTAAACAGCATTAATGAAAAATGAAAAACTAAAATAAAACAAAAACTAAATGACTAGCGAGAAGATTCGTATAATAAAGAAGTAGGAGGAAGGAAAAGGCGGAAAAAGGAAGAGGAGGAGGAGTAATAGTCGTTGATAAGACAAAAATTGAATGAATAGATTTGATTTATTGACAACT